CGGAACTTCAGATTCCAGTTCGCTTGACCCGCCATGACTGCCCACGGCGTTCATTCCGTGGTCGCCAAGCACCATAATTGAAAAATCCATTTGGGCCTAAATTGGAAAAGTCCGTTCAGCTTTATGAAGAAATTTGGGACGTTGATCAAACAAGAAGGCATAGAATTTTCACTATGATAAAGGATATAAATGTAACCTATTTACTAAATGATAGTTCAAGAGATGCTGCAAACCTTCGCATATGAAACACAAAAGTTGAATTTGTATGACTTAACAACATATGTAGTAATGTAGACCCTGGTTAGCAAATTTTTTCCAGAGATCATAAGTCTCCCGTTTAACATTATGGCAACAACTGGTCATCACAGTGCGGTGTCCCTTAATACTTCAACGTGACCATGCCGAAAGTGAACAAGAAACAGCTTCGATTTTGAAAAAAATGAAATGAGTTCGAAGTTATACCGCATAGAAAAAATCAATAACGGAAGTAAGTTTTCTACAGAGCAAAAAATTAGTACAAAACAGGATAGTACATGACAGTTAAATGCAACCAAAACAATGCAGCAGAATCATCATAGCAGAATAACACAGCCATCACAACTAAGATGGCAGCTATCAAACACGTCCGAAGGAAACAAGAAACAGCAAAAAAGGAAACAAAACGAAATTGCAAATGAAACCAGACAAGAACAGAAATATAACAAAAATCGGAAGAAGGAAGCGCAACAGCTCACAGACGGGAATACTCCTACACATTGCCGTCTGAAGTGCAAATGCTGAAACAGGCGAGGTAATTTTTGTAAGAATTAGTGGAACCATGTGTGACTTTCAAGCATCCCCACAGAGTAAGTAATCATAAATTAGTTCGAAGCAGTCTACAATGGCTCTTTGTAACCCAAAGAGTGCGTGAGGCATCCAAAGATGCGAACTGCAGGACAAAGCGAGATACCGCAAAGTGTAAATAATAAGTCACCAACATTAGTAAGAATCGAGACAGCGTTCGATGATTATGAAAATGAACAAAGATGATTACGAAATTGAGATTGTTTCGAATAGATGACGAGGACTAACAAACAAGGTAGGCGAAAGACACAAGAAAGTTTGATGGGCGCTATTAGCAAACGAATAAAAAATCAGACCCATTCACTATTTCGACGGTAAAGATATCAAGATTCGGGAAATTCAGAGTAATGGTATTTCTAGACTTGTACATTCATCCCATCACTTGTACTGTCCCCATCACTCTGGATAGAATGTAGCATTCGGTCTTTGTCTGAGAGCTGCGCAAAGCTACAATTTGTAGACTCCCACACAAGATCAGGCAAAACACCTGGTGTCGTGAAAAGCATAAGCAAGCGTGCTCTCAGGTGCAAGCAGATTACGCCCGTTTACTAGGAGCCAGCTAACCTAATGTTAATATTTAAAAGTAGATTAATGATTTATTTTGCACATTCCAATTGTTTTCATACCGCCGATAATGCCATATAAAGCCTTTCAATAATCTGGTCCATCTCGCTCAATTTCGTAGATATTAACGGGCTGTTAGAACCGTACGTATGTCCAATGTGATCCAATCCCAAATAATGCAGTATCATCACGTTCCAATCATTTAACGCCAGCTCTTTGACCATATTCCGCGTCACAATCTGATCCACCTAAAAAATAGCTGTCAGTCACTAGTCGTTTTCGAACAGATATGTTGCAGAGAATACACAATAAAGCAGTGTGACGATGTCCACGCCATAAAGTATCTAAAGGTTTAGTGTAGTATTATACAACAAAATATTAATGACGCAAACTACGTTGATATACGTGCACATGAATTTGTATACATGCGTGCTAAAATGATGCACAGGCAAGCGAGAAATTCGTTTAAAATTCTTCAGGAATGCCTTCGTATGTCCCTAAGAACATCAGGGAGTGTATAAATGACTGTTCGAAATGCGTTTAGTTCATCCTGTCAAATTATTAGCAAATCTATTGAGCTGGCTCGGCTACAGAATATTGAAATCCCCCACCTATCGACGTTCTCACTGTAAAGTATGCGAGTAACATAATACGCATCTACAGTACCTAAAAATACCAATGGCTGAGATATTTATTAACAGATTAAGATGATCACCAAGCAATACCAGGCATGATATAATGAGGTAAACCTGGGATAAGCTATAACTCTTTCAAGACTAGGTTTCTCGGCGCACTGCAGTGTCTCTTCGATCTCTGTTGTCTTGCTTGAAGGAGGTTTAAGCAAGCCAAAGATTCATGTATTTGAGAATCTTCAGTGCCAGATGAATCTCGTATCATTTTGAGCTGTTATTTCTTGTGTGCTATCGCAAAAAATAGCAGAGCATGTTCCTCCACAGTGTTTGAGCACATGCAGCGCCAGATGAAGCCACGGCTTGAATAAACAGAACTTTCGATAACTAATAGTAATAAAGAGGTGTAATATTTCGTGAAAACAGGTTCTAATGCAGGCATGTATTACCTGACATACTCTGGCATACAAACATACTCTGATGCTTCAGAAGTACAAATCAAGTCATAAATAAAAACAAGGAATCATTTAAGGCTGACCTTCTTTGCAACAGAGGCTCTGAGAAAACCCATCCTACTTTACAACACCAGATGTTTCATAATCCACAAATACAGAAGGCGACCCGATTAGAAAATATATACGTCACTGTAGCACAATATTTGATGGACTTGGCCATATTGGGTCGTATATCTGTTGTGCACTGCACCCTGTTCATCAATTTTTTAAACCTGTTGTATATGCTTTGGGACAGCTTGGTACGGTCCCATACAAACAAATAAATCAAATACAATACGCCAAACTATACTATATTATGCAAACTGGCAGCTGTTCCACTTAAAGGAGTTTAGTTTATGTGGCGCGTTATCGACTATTGACGGCCATCAAGTAACCAAATCGTTCACCCCTATATTAACTGTTGTTCAAAACTGCATGCATCATACCTCAGTATAGTCAGAGAGTATGAACGAGGCCACAGGGACCGACCGAGCGAAGGAGTGTGGAAATAACTTTGTCCAAGTCTCGTCTCCATAAAACACCACGGTTCGGTTATTCTCACTCAACGAACGAATTATGCTGTCCTCCGCATATTCTGATGTGGCAAAGTTCTTCAATATGTCAACGTATTCAGGCACAATTCCAGATACCACCGCCTAAAACCATGTCGCTTCTAGAAAGGAATCTGTCAAAATCATTAACTTTATCATTCATAAAATATCGATGAAAATCACTCCCTGTCGTGACGTCCTCTAACATGTATGTGGTATACTTCACGCTAAATGCGATGAGGCCATGAAGAAAAAAATTCTTAAAACCTAAGGCATTTATACGCTAAAGAAAGGCTACAGTGTACCATGATGATAAGTGAAGCAAAACAGGAATAAAGAGCAATGTCTATCTCCGGAGAACATTAATGAGCGAATGAGCGACGGCAGGCAGAACATGCAAATGGACACAAGAAAGAATTGACTTAGACGATCGCCGTACCAAAACCGGCCTGTGGAGATAGAGGAGAATCTGAGCAGTAGTGTGAATGTATCTAGGTTTAAATCTGCACCATCATTGCTGTTTGTAAGTAGTAGATGTCGTAGACCGCACCTAAAGTGTCTCACATTAAGGTATTTCGGATGTGGCTTTTTTTGCTGACATCATACATCCGTTTGAGCATTCGCATATCGACCAAGTTCAGATATTGCTCAAGACTTTTCAAGGTGGCCAAACATTTCGCACCATAGAGAAGTACAGGTATTACAATCTTTCCATACATCTTTCTGTTTAGTTTGATATGGCTAAATATATTCAACTATACTGCGTTCTCTTAAGGTTAATCTTAAGCGAATTTTTTTTAAAAACCTGTACACATAAATATACAATAGAAAAAAATACTTTTATTCTCGGCATCGTTACTGTAGGCCACTGCACTTTTGCGTTATAAGTAAGTGCTTGGCTGTTGTCAATGGCATGCGTAACGAAAGGCATTGCTTTGTATCTCGATGATATAAACTCTGCTCTAAACGAGTCGATAATAACTACGACAAGGCTCCCCACCGGATCGTAGCTTAAGTTCATGAAACTCAGACGATCAGTTCCACTGACTAAATAAAACATAAAAAACGTTTTAACAAATTAGAAAAACTTTCAGCGGTGTCATAAAAGTTTAGCCGAATTTTTCAAACTGAATAACTCTAGAATAACACTGAACAAGTCAAATTCGAATCCAGTTCAGTAAACAATTTTTTCTAATTTACTACCAACTTAAAGAAAATTTTTTGCCTAGACGCTCCGGTGCAACGCGCAGTGAAATATCCAGTACGTCCATACTTTGTTTTATCGCTAACAAGGTAACCATGGTGTTCACAACATTTGCCCTAAATGATTACAATGCCTATTCAGCCACCCACCAATTTTGCCTATGGTTTAGCCACCCGACAGTCAAACCGAGAAAATAAAAACGTACAATTATTAAAAACGACTCTTAGATGCTCTTGCCTCGGAAGAAAATTTTTTATCATACGGCTACCTTCTCAACAAAGCTGTGCACGATGAGAAAAATCATTCGCGATGGTCCATTCATCGAATGGGAGGCAAAGAATACTCTTCGCGCCGCAAAAAGAATCAAGGGCTAGAAATACGGAATTATCCCCCAAATAGTCATCTATCTGCATAATGCATAATGAAATCTGCCAATAGAGTTGCCGCAGTCCAACGATGCATCTGTCTGTCTGGATAATACCAAAATATAATTCACATAACGTTTCAGGATCAGCCTTTCTACCAATAATATCCTCCTCATTATCATCAGACCTTGTCAACTTTCATCTCCATCGATCAACTCCTTCCAAGCATTCTTTGTTAGTTCATTTATCAAATAAACTTATAACATTATACATTAACTTACAGCATTTCGGTTGTTGTTGTACATCATTTTATTCTGAAAAAAATTGCCAGACATCACAAATCTTCGTTACTTTACCGTTTAAGATCGACTAACCATGACTAAAAACAAACGACAAACGATGCTGAAAACAGAACTAACCGGTCATTCGATTCAGGCGGTTCGTTAAATATCCCGGGGACATAGATAACCTGCAAATCAACCGCTGAACAGCCTACAATGCTTGCTGCTGAAACCTGTCAGCGAGAAAAGCCAAAAGCCATGAAATTTTGTCTCAATTCTGCATCTTCTTTTAAATAAATGGCCATCTAAAAAACTCTAAATACAAAGAAACAGGTAGACAGTTATCTTTATCATAAGTGGCAACGCAAATGTCGCAAGTTAAAAACAGACCACTACTCTGTTTCGTTCCACTGAAATAAAAATTGATTAGCAATCAAATTTTGCTATGGAACTTGGTGGGCTTCAGAAATGCGTCGAAATTTTGTTTGTACTCTTTCAGTTTAACTTTATATGCTAATATTTAGTCGCAATCACCTGCGGATCATCGCATTTCCTTCAGATGATAGTTAACTCGGTTATTCGTACTTATAGTTGCGAAAATATGCTTTAGGTTCTAACTGCCTAAGAGGTTCATTAGATCGAATACCGTGTAGAAATCAGCTGGAAGGAAAAATCTGAAATATATGCTCACAGTGAAAAGTTTTATACGACAAAATACGAGTACAAAAATAATACGTACCGGAAATTTTAGGCCTACTTTGTGAAAGAACCGAAAAATCTTCGATTCTGAAGCAACCTTTAAGGAAAATCAGAAGTGATACGAATTGCAAAATGCAACCAATCCGAATGTACAGTAGCAACTCTTTAACCGCTATGTATTCCATAATAGCAAGCCCAAGTTAACCCATTAATTTAACATGGATGACTTAATAAGCATCGCTGCAAAACTGCAAATATGCAGAAATTTTCTAACATCGCGTTATTCGCGGGAAGGAAATACACAGTAGGAAACTTTTCTGACTTGAAGGTACATAAACATTTTTAATGTATTACGATGTTCAATATTTTGGGAAGTCGTTTAATTGTTGTTTCTTTTACAATGGTGCCAACGTATTTCAATAATCAGTTCTTTAACAATATTCAAACAATCCTCAATTTAATAAAATTTAAAATGTTTAAAAAAGTAGCTGCTTGAATAATTTCCGGTTTGACGACAGCAAATTTTGCTGTTTCATGCCATGTCTGTCTGGAACATCGGAAATGCAATTTCTTACTTATTTCAATGGACTAAATCATGCGATGCATAAAATATCTCTCAGCCTCGACCGACGTATGATAGAACGGTGTTCTCCCCAACGTACTAGCCTACTGTGCAAGGGGCCTCGTATCATTCTTCACTAAGACATGCAAGCAGTATTTACGCACTAAAAGTCTTTTATGTCCGTGGTTGCTCGCCAGTGTAACTCACGTTCGGGTAAAATATAGGGTCACTGTATCTAACCGTTTTTCTCGTAAGTGTTTATCATATCCAGCATCATGCGTAGCTAAGTCTTTTGGTATGTTGTTGCTGCCACTCATCTCAGAACTTTGACATTCCCGCCAGGGCCTACTTTTAGTCGGCTTTAGAACACCCTGATGTACCACAGACAATTCTGCTGCATTTGTTCACCAGGTTGCTTAGCAACTGAGTGAAAGAAAAGCACAATTGGATGTTCGCACAATTCGTACGTTGATGGATGCGTCGCCGCTTTCAAGTTTCTCAATTGCCCAGGAAAAACCGAGAGTGCCAACGAAAAATGCAGGTTCGGTTCATTACTCCTGCTTTCTTCAATCTACGCAACTGACTGTCAGATGAATCTATCTGTCATCTACATGAAGTAAGAGAGGAGCGGTAGCAAGAGCAACAAACAGAGTACATCTATTTACGTATTGTCCAGAAGCAATAAAGATGTAGCGTTTGTTTGCTGAAAGGGTTGTAGGTAAACGCCCGGAAGTGCTTCAACAGCATCTTCTCACGTGCACATGCGCTTAGTACTGCAAGACGGGCATCGCTGTCCAAAAGAACTGATGGTTTCATCTGTGACACGATAAAATTAATTTTCCATTTTGCATATATCTTAACATCTACCAATATATAACTTGGTCAAAATACCATCAATGCATTACATCGAAGGTGTGGAAGCTATTCTTCTACATTATACAGCTTCGACAAATTCAGCAATCTGGCTTTTCTGCCAGTTTAAATCAGCTTGTAACATCACTTATGCCAAGAAATATTCAAAATCATAATCCCTAGTAATTCTACCTGGTAAAAAATTCAGTGAAAAGTTACAAAAGTTGCTTAGCTCTGAATATAACAGTGAAGCATATATGAAAGATTTAAAAAACTTAATTAGTTATTAGCAACTACTGGGATTAATGATTCTCTAGCCTTGGTTAATAAATTACGGCGTAACTGTTGAAAATGTTATACAGGAAAAACAAGGAAAATCGTCACTGAACAAATAATATTCACCTGCCAAGCCAGAAAATTGATTATCGTAAACGAACAAGACAGACGTGTAGCAACAAAGCACCCCGGAATAAAAATAAATCTTTTAGCCTCCAAACCAAGTCAAAGAACAATGCAAAAAACCTTCAGAATTGTGGAACACGCAGCTGAAATCGGTCCAGTTCTCCAATGGTCAGATTGCAAGATCATCATTGAAAAAACGCACGGATGAATACATGAATCAAATAGGCATTAATTATTCAATCTTGTCTAAGTGTCAACCGGGTTAAAGGATAAGAACTCTTCACGGATTTGAAAAGCCTTGTCAAACCTATCGCCGAAAAACCAACGCATAGAGGGGGCCAAGATATCACCTTTCCGCACCAAACATTGCGACAGCTGCGGACTACAGAAAGAACTTCGGCAATTAACCGTCCACTCAAAAAAAGACCTGGCAGACATGAGCCGAAAAGGGCGGCACTGGTTAGACACTTGATTGACCAATTCCTGGCTTTGTGTGTGAATAAGCCGTTTTCATAACATTTTCAGTATGAACATCGACGCAGGAACGAAATGCTGAAACCACATATCTGATCACTACGTCCTCCTTCCATCGCACAAAATTACAACCAGAGAATCTTACAGGAATTCGAACCGATGATCTTCCTGCTGCAATTTCAGCGTACGGCCAAAATTCTGTGATTCTATAAATTCTTCAGCCGTGATATTTGTGTAAATTTCATTTAATACTGAAAATTAAATTAAATGTTTTGCTTTAATTGGCTTTGTGCGATCATAGCAGAAGCAATTACTGCAGATCTGAATATACACATCCCGATTGGAAGCAATTGGAAGCATAATTTGAACTAGTATGATGTACACAGATTTAAATGAAAAGCTAATACGTAGAAAGTGTCTTGCATAACGTGGCTAAAACACAACATTATGTACTCATGCATTACAACATTGAATCATTATTTTCAAATTTTTCGTCCATTTCAGGCTTTTTATTCAGTGAGCATTTTCGGTGAATATTTTGCGTATGTAAAACTGAGTCACGAAACTTAATGACGATGTTTTCGTACTTCACAACTTGATATTAGTGATGGACAAACAAATATATCTTTGTTACATCAACAATGAAGGCAATCTATCTCTCTTACAGATTGCAGGAGCTTAGAAAATTATAAGATTTGCATCAATTGTCACAGAAACGTAAATATACAGGAGCAATTTCCTGTTTAATAACCCCTTAACTAAGAAAGAGATGCTTTGTGTTGCAAAGTTGGAGGAGTTTGAGCATGCCATCATGAATCTATAATTTTGAGGCTTTCGAAGATTGAGCGATTTGCTTGTGGATTAACGTTCATACTGAAAACTGAAAAATGCATTAAAATAACTTATTCTCACCAAAAGTAAACAAATAAG